TAATAATCTGTTTACCAGCTTTCTCTTTCAATTCGAATTTCTTTTCTTCCTTTTGTGTGTGTTCCTTTTCTAATAATTCCATTACTTGCTTTTTCCCGTTGTGTGTTTTCAAAAAACTGGGCTGTTCTGCTCACTGACGGTATACATCTCTTGCTAGTACACACAGATGTGTGTGTGTGTGTCGAGTATTTTAATATAAAAACTAGAGCCATGGAGTATTGTGTGTGTGCGTTCTTGGAGACTCTTTCTCTGTGTGCCTGGGCTTGCACTGTAATGATGATGATGAACTGATTTTTTTGCAGTGAGGGAAAAAGAAATAATAATAACAGATGAATTTATATTTATAATTGCTTGTACTTACACATGTAGACTTACACCCATAGGTGGTGTATTTCTGTGTTTACTGGATAAATTGGGCTAATGGTTAATATCTTTTTCTTTGCTTGATGATTTTGCTGGGTCGCCGAGCCTTTTTTTGAAATATTTATAAGTGTGGGCGTTTGTGTTTTTGTTTTTACTCTTACTGAGGTTATTGCGCTGTATTGCTTTTTTTAACTGCTAGGTTTTTCTTTGACGATGTGAGTTTCCATAGTGGTAATCGATTAATGTGTGTCCTAACATGTTTGATACTTCATTTATTTTCTTTTTTTGCTTTTTGATTGTTTTCTCTCTAGATCAGTGTTTTTACGTGAAACAAACCCCTTGTCTCTCTCACATGATGATGATGATGACCCGTGTGATGTGTGTGTTGGCCGTTGTGCTGTGCTGCGCCTGCGGGTATACCATGACGGCTGCTGCTTCGACTCCTGGACAGCCAAAGGCGGAGATGGCTTATGATTGGGGATGGGAAGGTTTTCTTGCAGGCACAAGCTACAAGTATAAAGAGTGTATGAAGAACAGCTCTCTTACGTTTGACGGAAAAAATTGTACGGCGTTGGGATTTATTAACAAGACTGCTGCTTCTGGTTCTGCTGCGTCTGCCAAGTCACCTGCTAATGGAAATCAGGAGGCGCGTCTTGTTGTTGTTTTCGGACCAATTACGCAAAAGATTTACGACAAGCACTGTGGGAATAATTCTGCTGTCACTATTAATGGAAAAACTTGTTCGGA